ATAATTTTATGTTATAAATATTTAAATGTTATAAAAATAATTTTTTTAATTAAAATATCAAAATCGATTATAAAAAAAATTAAAAATTTAATTTATTTATTAAATTTAATATCATCTTCTTCTTCATATTGTTTAAAAATTAAATTATTAAACTTTTTTTAAAAATTTCATAAAAATTACGAAAGGGTCAGTCTTCTTATATCTATAACAGGAACAGAAGAAAGAGAGATGAGTTTATAATAATTCTAATGCTGTATCCTTCTATTTCATATAAGAGATAGTTTGGCTTTTCCCAACACACTCTCGAATAGTTGAGTATGGCATTTGGTCTCTGGGTCAATAAAAAACTTCGAATGATTCATTGTATAGTATTCTTTGAAGTTTTCATTGACCCTGTCATAAGCCCTCAACAGTCAGTATGAATGGTTGAGTGGGAGTGTATACACTCTTTTAAAATAAGAATAAATGTTTCTGCATCCCTCTTGTTTACAACCTGCATGTAAACATCATGAGTTTTATCATCAATAAACCCGAACACCCAAAGACCTTGAACTCTGTCATTATAATTATTTGTCTTGTTGAGATTTGAGTTTAATCCTAAGAAGTCTTTGAAGAGAAGTTTTCCTACATTATTCTTTTGATGACCACCAAATAACGATTCATCTACTCGAATAACATTCCCCTCACCTCCCAGTTGTTTAAATGTAATAACCCAATAAGTTACTTCTCTAACATAATTAGTTTAGCTGAAATTGTCTCATTTCCTATTATTTCTGAATTCTTTTTAATCTCAAGATATAGTTGGTTTTAAAATAACAAGAGATAGCTTTATTATCTTTTGAATTGGTATTGCAATCCATCTTTTACCCTTCTTTTCATAAGAAAAAAATGTATTTTTAAAGATAGACCACTCTTTTTTGAAGGGTCTACAACAGAGGAGGAAGCTGTCACAGTACTTCTTTCTTCTCGTCCTTAAAACTGAGTGTCCTTTGCAATATATGCTTCGCCATTCGTCCTTAGGTAGTAGCATAGCCCAATCTACTATTTTAGCTATAAAGGCACTATTATCATTTAAAATTACCATTAATTCTTCGAAATTCATGGATTTAAAAAATGTGAAATTTTTATAAAAATTTTTCATGTTATATATTTATTTAAAATTATTTTATAAAAATATTTAATCCTTTATTTTTAATACAAAATTTTTTCAACTACCTAAAAAAATAAATAATTTTTGAAACTTTTATTTAATTAACTTTTTAATAAAAATTACTCAGTTTTAAATTATGGCACGAGCCTCAAATCAAAAAATTTTGGTATTCCTTTTCATGGTGCCCTAAACTGTGTTTAGATCCAAATCGAAGAAATACCGTTTTAATATAAAATAAAAATTAATAAAAAATTATTTGTTAATAATAGTAATTGATTATTTAAATTTAATTTTAAGTTTTCTACATCTTTAATTCAACTTATTAAAGTGTAAAATATTATATTATTCATTGAAATTTTTATTTTTATTAGTTTTGATATTGTTGATTTTAAAAAGTTAGAGGATTTTCCTTTATTAAATATATCAATTTATATATTTTTAAACTCG